CTCCTCACTACAAGAGAAGACCTGGTAAACACTGGGCCACTAACCACAATGTCGGGGGTTCAAACTCACTCCATGAAAGAACGATGAGGAAGCCCTAAGGACCAGAATGATCATTGGCTCAGTGAGTCATTATAACCAGGAGTCCTGCTGGCACAGTGGTTATAGCACTCAGCTGTTAATTGATGAGTTAGGGGTTCAATGCCTCCAACCACCTCAGTGGGAGAGCGATGTGGCAGTCTGCTTCCTTAATTAGGACAGCCTGGAAACCCGAAGGCATCTCTGTTCTGTGCTATGGTGCTGCTGAGTCAGAATCAACTCCACAGCAGGGGGTTGGTGGATTTAGGTCACAAGATGAAGCATTTCCTGCTGAGGCAGTGGCAGGGGGTGTGGGGGGGCTGTTCTTCTGGTGTCTGTGCCTTGGATTTCTGGAATGTAGTCTGTCATCTCCATTCTGTACATCGGTCTAGCCGCTCAAAGGCTGTGCCTACTCCTAGTGGTGGTAGTGGTGGTGGGGGCAGGGTGCTTTCCTGACACTGGAAAGCCAGTCCCACCCTTGCCTGGAGCACTGCCTCCTACTGGCCCACTCTCTGCCACCTCTCTCAACAAGACTCTCCGGGTCTCCCCAGTCTGCTGTTGCACTGGGATCTGGCCCACACCCCCTTCCCCACTCCCGGCGAGGCTATTTAGACTGCTGGCAACCCTAAAGGGCAGAGGAGAACTGCCCACTGGGCTTCCCAAAGCAAGACAGTCTCGTCTTTTTCCTTTTCCTTGGGAGTAGCAGCTGATGGGTTCGAATCCAAGACCTTCCCGTTAGCAGTCCCATGTTAGGCCCCTATGCCTCTGGGCCCTTTGGGGGCTTGGTAGCATAGAATCAATGTTTCAATACATGCTGATTGATTAATGAATGAATGAATAGGTGGGTGTGTGGAAAGTGAAACTGGAAAGCTAGGCTGGCAATGCAGGCTGGGTCTCTTGTGACCTTTAGAGTCACCTTCCTTACACAAGGGGACAGGACCCTTTTTTCTGCTGAGGGCCCTTTGCCTATTTATAACATCACTTACGGGCCATATAAAACTACCAACTTAGAAATTAGCCTGCTATAATGGATCAAACATTTAATTAACACACCCCGGATGTGATGGCTGGGACTGCTTCTCTTTGGTGAGGCGGGGGATGCCAGCTGGTTTTCCTGACTTCCAGGGCCCGGTGGGTAAGTGGTTACACTTCAGGCTGTTAACCACAACCTCAGCACTTGGAATCCACCAGCCGCTCTGCCGGAGAAAGTCTGGGCTTTCTACTTCGGTTAAGAGTCAGAGTCTCAGTAACACCACCAACACCCCCACCCCCGCCCCAAGGACCAGGCCTTTCTTTCCTGTTCTTCCAGGGGGGCTGGGGTTCCTATCAGTCAGCATGCACTTCTTGGCCAGGAGCTAAATTGTTGCGAAATATGCGGCCGCTAGTCCCATCGCCTGGTTTTCTAGGCCGCTCTCCTCCCTCAACCCCCCCTCCGCCCCTCTCTTGTGGCTCCCACGCGTTTCCATGCAACACTCAGTTTCGGTTTCATTTCTCCCTCAGGAGTCAGGAAAGGAAAGTAGGCTGTCCGGGCAGGGAGCTGCAGGAGGAGGGAGGGGCGCGCCCCGCAGAATGGGTGGAGAGAGGGTGGCGCGGAAATGCGCATGCGGTCGGGTGTCGAGAGAGGGAGGAGTGGGCGCCTGGCCCACCTGAATTAGGTAGTCTTGGACCCGGTGCTGTCCCTGCCCAGCTGGCTGCGGGGGGACCCGCCCTGGGTTGCCCTGATTCCCATTCCCGACCTCGTCCCCCCTCCCCGGCTCGCTTTCACTGAGTTCTCCGACCTTCCCGGAATCCCAGCTTGGGCCGCAGAAAGGTGCAGAGAGGGAAAGCGGGGAGTGGCGTTTGGGGGCGGAGCCAGGCAGGTTGGAGGCCCTGCCCCTCCCCTCCCCTGGTTTTGTGCACCCTGGGCTTAATACAAGATCCGTGGTCACTGGGGGAAGAAGTGGCCTTTCCAAGGCACGTTTTGTGACAGTGTGGCTGTCACCTGCTACTTGCCTGGCGTATGTGCCTGGTGACCTGCTGGGGAAAGCAACCTTTTGTGAAAGTGTTTTTGGTTTTCAGACAGGACAGGCCACCTGTCTCCTCAGCCCCTCTCCCCTGGGACAGGGGAATTGGACCAAGGGGCTCTTTCTTCTCTTTCCACCTGCTCTTCCGAGCGCTCCCCGCCCCCCTTCCAAAAGTAATTTTATGGTTGGGGGGGTCACCACAACATGAGGAACTGTATTAAAGAGTTGAGGCATTAGAAAGGTTGAGAACCACTGATATATACCCTCACTGCTTCCCGAGCATAAACTGCCCCACTCCCACTCTTGGTGAACACTAATATTGTGCATTTGTTGACTTTGTTTATCAGGAAGGTCAAACACCGTATTTCTCTTTGAGGCTGGTTTAGTCTCACTCAGCATGTGCATTCAAGGGTCCTTCATGTGGTGTTGTGCATCAAAACTTCATTTCTCTAGGCTGAGAGGTAATCCATCAAACCCTCAATTGTTTAAAAATATTTTTATTTATTAAATTTCTATGTATATTTTTAAAGTATTATTATTTTTCTTGATTCAATTCCTCTGCAAGAATAGGAGCTTGTCAATTCCGCAGGTCTGTCTGGATAGGACAGGCTGGATGAACAATCTGGAGGAGAAAACAACGGGACTGACAGTTCCGGG